CACACACACACACACCCACCCACCCACCCACCCACCCTTCCTTCTCCTCAAATTGGCTGTTTCTCTAGTTCAAGGTAATTTAGTGGTCCTCTGAATTTCATGGGCTGTGACTTCTTTGGGAACTATTAAGTATTGTATTTAGGATCATTTTGGTACTGTGCTGGCATGTTTGTTTTTCAGTCTGCTTACATTCTCAAACAGTGTTGCATTAGTATGGGTCATGGGTCTTCTGTTTTAGCTTTTCTTTTCCCTTTTGAAATAGTTACAGAGATCAGGATGGCACACACTCTTTGATTACTGCACAGATTCACTATTGCTTACTGTGCACGTAAAGAACAATTTTGGATTGAAATTCTGCAGCTTCAAGCCTTATTCATTCACATCAGTGAGGCTTCCTGGGTCCAGTCCATGCAGCTATTTTAGCTAATCTTACAATGCAAAAAAACTAGGGCAAATTCACTTACCCTCCTGAAGATGCGCAAAGTAGCAGAATCGTCATTTTACCAAGTTATTCAAAGTAATTGAACATAGCATTGGGAGGCTGAACCAGGTGGGTCAGTCAGCTTGTTAGCTCACAGCGAATAGATCCCCTGCATAAAATCTTCATGTGGGTATCCTGCAGGGATTTGCAATATCTGTGGAGCTCCTCTGTACACTTGTTTCACTCAGACTAGGTGAGGCAGGATTCTTTCCCCTTGAAAGTATATTTATTCAGATTGATGCTGTCAGTGTAGTAAGCATGTATTAGAAAGCAAAAAGGAAATTTCTGAGTGTCTAAAATAATTTAGTTTAGTGGAACAATGTGTTTTGCTCTACTGGAGAGGCACAGTCAGTTTTAAATGAAGTTACCGGGGCCCAGAACCACAAAAGGAATTAAAGAACATGACTCCTTTCTTTCTCCCTCCCTGCTCTCCAGTCCCATACAGTGATGGAGAAATGCCTTTGCAGGGGGTTGGGGTAGGGGAGAGAAGGGGGATATCTGGGTTCGCGCCAACATATTTTGTTGTCCGCTAGGTAAAATACATAAGCAGGAGTTGGAACTTTGAGTGCTTTTTGCTTGGGAAGAGAGAGGCCTTAGTTCCTCTGCACCACAGCAGGACATCCAACAGTAGAGACAACCTATGAAAGCTTACAGCTTGGAGTCTGGGGTGCTGTCATGGGTGATGAGAAATGTAGACTTGATACTCCCCCCAATAGCTGAGGAGGACATATAGGTCTCCCCATCCTGGGTGAATGACCCAGGCTGTTGAATAAAAGTGAGCATCACCAATATTAAGCACATCAGGAGTGAATCCCAGTTTGATTTAGGTAGGTAATTCCCTGCAGCCTAGGCTTAGGCACTTAGGGTACATGTACATGAGTGCAGAGGTTGCTCTGACGCACTGTGATTAGCGAGTTAGAGCAGACTCGATTAATTACCACATGGTAATTACCACGCTCCAGCAGCCTCCTGCATCTCCGTGTATCAGCATCCCCGTGCTTCAAAATGGCGGCGGGAGCACATGAACAAACTTTAGTTTGAGGGCACCTGCTGCCATTTTGAAGCACAAGGACACGGATGCACGAGAAGCAGCGAAGCTTTAGAGTGGCTCTCAGAGCTGCTCTAATAGAAGCACCCCTCCCCCCACCCCTGGAGCACACAAAGTGCCCTTAAATCCTATCCCTCATATTGGTTAAGACACTCCCGCTTTCTTGGGTTTCCAGTTCTCCTAATTTCGGTAGCCCAAAATACTTAGGCATTGTGAGCTAAGTATCACATCCTGTAAGTTTATTGGTGGATATGGTCCTCTGGCATCTGAGATAATGCATATTCACTAGAGGTAAACCAATACATTGATCCCATATCAGATCAGTAGCAATATAGGGAAAATTGAAAGTATTAGCAATTGGTTCTTTTTTTTGCCTGATGTGACCGATGAATGTGGCAGATGAATGCCCTGTGCACGTGCACTGCTGCAACATGCACAGGGCCAGGAGCATAGCCAGGCATCTTGGAGACCAGCAGGTATAAGTATGATGTCAGGGAAGGGGAGGGGGTGGGGCAGAAGCCTCTGGGGGGAGGGAGTGGGGGTGGGGCAGGTGCTGCTCAGCCAGGGTGGGTGCGGGACGGAGCCGTGAGCCGTTCTTTGTGGGGGTAGGGGAGCAGTCTCCAAGCTGCCTGGCTGCATATCAGAATAAGATTGGTATTGGTTGATATAGTTCCTTAAAAATCAGCCATCATTATCAGCCAAAAAAATCTCTATCAGTGTACCCCCTAGTATTCACTATTTTTCCTCTGTCCTGGCTCTGCATTTTATGAGGCTACCTACTTTTATTTTGTTACCATTCAAAATGCATATCACATCCACCCCCTTACATGGAAAATATCTCAGAATTAAACTAGGAGGGGATTTATTTGTGCTTCTTGTGCATAATATCTGACTTGACTTCATCTGCAATATTTATTATGAGTGGTTACTGTATATATGACTTCTTACCTTCAAGCACAAAGGGGAAAGCTCCTAAATTTAATTAGGTGTGTACAAAGATGAGTGCCCCCCTTTAGTTAAGTCTGGGTAGTGGTTTAATGAGAGACCAATAACTCAGGCACTGAAAATATGTCTAATGTTCTCAATTTTACATCTGTTATTAAGAGCCCTATAGATAGAAACTTACTGACTCTTAATTCTGTTCCTTGAGGTAATGTTGAGAAGTAGAGGTACTAAAAGTTAGATCCCAAAAAGTAGGTGCCAGAATTAATTAACTGACTTCCAGATGAGTTTGTGTGCCTAAGTACCGTTTTGGATTTAGCGTTAAGGTGGATGCACATCTAGGGGACTGTGCTTTATCAGTTCTTACTCGAAAGGTTGTTTTAGCTATCAGAGCTAGAAACTTCAGTTTATATTAAAAAAAAAAAAAAAGTGAAACTTTACTTGCTAGGTGACCAAGTGAGAATATGCACAGCAGTCCTAGAGGGTCTGCACCCCAAAAGCCTCATGACTACTGTTTATCTTTTATATTTTGGAGAAAGGTACGTTAAGGCCCTGTTGACACTTGGATTAAAAAGTGTATATTAGCCAATCCAGCCTATCTGATCTGCACTAACACCATGCATAGATGCTTGAATTCTGTGTTAAGAACCTTCTTCTCATTTTGGTTAATCATAGTTGGCATGGATTAACCTTAGCTACAGAAAAGGTACTCGGTGCAGAATAAGCTTTGGCTTCACAGAAAATCTTAGTGTGAAGTAAGTATTGTACTTCAGTTCACATTCTGGCTATTTTCTAAACTAATTTCTCATGTAGGTAAGCCCTTAAATGATTTACCAAGACTCAGTGAGTTGGTTCTCAGTATTATGAATAGAATCCCAGGTGGTCTATTGCCTTGCCTGCTACAGTATCCCAGTTGAATAGAACATATGTACATGTGACTCAATTTAAATGGTATTTAATCATTTACATATGTAGACTATAGAAAATAATTTCAGTTCTAAAAAAAAAGTCTAAGTAGTGTCTAACAGAACATTTGTTCAGAAATGCACTGTTAGCCCAGTTTTTTCGTGCCATTTTATTTGGAAAAAATTCTATTAAACTTCAACATTGACTATGTAGTAGTGAGAACAGCAATTTGTGTTGGAACCAACACTGTTGTCTTTTCTGCTTCACATTATATGTTATGCTAAAAATGCTCATTGTTTTGATAAACTTATGAAATCTATACTGTATTGCATTTTGGTCTAAAAACTCATACATTACTTATGCCTTCATAAGCTTACGTCATTAGTCACATTTCATTGATAAACAAAAGCAGTTTTTGCAATGCAGTTAATTTCACATTTCATTTTTCTGACAGTTTCTTTGCAAACATGGCTTTTTTTGCTAGAAAGTGTTCTTGAATCCTTTAAAAAAAAGTTAGGTAGAATACAAATGAGGGGAGGAGTTATAACACTGCTGTGACTGCAACTATTTCACTGAAACATTTGTTTTAACAGTTTAATATGTACTAAAACATTTGCTATACATAAGCTTTAGCTTCTTGTCTATTAGGATGAAATCAAGCTCTTTGCCTAACTTGCAAATTGATTAACTGAATTTGTTCTTAATATATTCTAACTTTGTTTTTTATCGTTATTAAACAGAGTTGACCAAGCACTCAATGGGAAACAAGAACAGAAAAGTGAACCGTGAGTTTGGAGCCCAAACAAGACTGAAGAATGTGCAGATGGAATGATGCTTTTTTTTTTTTTGCATTTACAATGCATTCAGTAGCCTGTATTATATAACCTGTTACAAAAGGTGCCTTGATTTCTCTGGACTAGTAAACAGAGGACTGTTCACTGCTGTATTGGTTTAATTCTTGACTTTAATAGCTATCTTTTTATACGTAATCATGTTATATTGCTAAATGTCAAAAACCTAGCTGTTGATAAAAGGCATTCTTGCAATTGTTTATCTAAATGATGCATGTTCTTCAGTAAAATATTTATATACCTAAATGTTAAACGAAAGAGATAATATATATTTTTATGACTTTTTTTGAGCAATATTTTGTTTACCTGCAGAAATGTTTGCAGGTAGACTAGGCCATGAATGACTGCTGTCATTATTTTATAAAGTGCATGATGACTTTTTTTGCTGTAAATGGGTAAACACATTTTTTGGGTGTTGTGAGCCTAATGTTCTGAGATGCTAATGTTCACGTGGTGCACTTGTCACACTTGTGTGATGATGCTCGTTTTTGTTCACACACCTAATACAAACGGAACTAATTTCCACTGCCAGAATGAACTTGAGCTTTGGCTTCTTTATTCTGTTTTTATTCAAAAGGCAGAACTGTAGGTCTTTCAGTTTTGTCCATGCTTTGTTTGGTGTTTTAAGTCCCTCTATCTCAACTGAGCAATTCAGATGACTAATTGCACACTGAACCTTTCACTCTAGGATCACTAATTTTAATTTTACTTAGATGTTTAGTAAATGGTAACTGAACAAACAACAGCTTTTTAATATGAAATAAACTTGTCCAGTTTCTTTTGAGCTGTCAGCTGGCGTTAATATAAACTAGGCATTCTTGACGAAGAAAAAAATTGCCTGGGGACAAAGACTGAAATTAACTTTAGCCAAATGTAATAAACTGTTCAGGTGTGATTGAGGTACCCTAGAAAAGTATAGAGAATCTTGCACTGTATACCTCCATGCTTTGTAGAAAGATCTTCCATTTCCAGTGCTATCTGGCACTTTTCAACAGCACTAAATTCACTTTAATGAAGTAGTATCTTTTTTTTCTTTTTCTCTCTCCTTTAATGGTTGTCAAATTTTCACTCGATGTTCTTGGGCACGTAAGCCAAAGTTTGTTCTGGTAACTAAATACATGCTCTGCTTTTCTGATTTGTCTAATACAATGTGTAGGAACTCTTGAATCTATTTGGTAATCATGCCCTACTGCCTGTAAGAACTGGTGTAAGTGAATCTGTTCACGAGCTAAATGTTTAGCTGATATTAAAGCAAACTTATTTAATATTTTCACTTTTATTACTTTTGTGCTTACCATTTGTCTTAATCAAGCCTAGAACACCCATTTTGATATTTTTACAAACAATATATGTAGGAGTGCTAATATTTTCACAGTTCATATTTATAAAATAAACTCAATATATGGAGAAAGTGAAGTGGCATTCAACTAGACAGTTATTTATCACTGGGGTGCAGCAGGCAAAGGTTAATCTTAAAGTCAGGATTTACTAGTGATGGACCTTTTACCTCTCATTGTCTCTCATAATTATTGTAGGTGTGAGGCTAGCAGATGCTGCTGTCAGATAAAGGCAATGATCTGCATTGGAGTTAACTCATGCTGACTAGGCACTCCATCTTGAGGTGTAGGGGTGTAGGTTGTAGCTGTGTTGGTCTAAGGACATCGGTAGACATGGTTCTTTGGGTGAATCTGATATCTTTTATTAGACCACCTTAAGTAATTGGAAAACAATTTTTAAGCAAGCTTTCGGGTTGAAACCCCTTTGTCAGGCTAAGGAAGTTTCTGCAGTTGGTGTGTGCTCTTCCTGGATGGAATGAAAAGTAAAGAAGCCAGAGGCTGGGCTGGTATGTATACAAGACAGGCAGTCAGTGAAGATGTAGATTGAGTCAATGGGTGAGAGAGAGGCTGGGTGGGGGAGAGAAAGGGGATGAATAGTGGAGAAGTACCTGGGGAGTCAGGTGTCAGAAAGGTTATAATGTGTCATAAATCCAATGTCTATGTTTAGTCCATGATTTTTAGTATCCAGGAGGTTGATGAAGTGGAAGTGGAGTTCATAGGGTCATCTTTGGGAAGCATTTTGTAAGTTTCCTTTGGGGATCAGGACTGAGAGACGGGAGAGAGAGTGGTTTTCTTGTGAGAGAGTTGCCCCCACAGGTAGTTGGGTATTCCTGTCTTTGATGGATTTCCCATGAATCTATTCTCTGCATCTTACTCAACTTACACATCTTATTCAACTGCAGTGTGTGTGCATGCAAATCTGTGACCTTCATTTTACTTTTCTAGCCTTAAATCTAATTTTTACCAAGTCTCTAAAGGCCTGGAAAATTAGAAGTTTTATTTAAACTTAACTTTCACAGAAAATAGGCATAATTTTTTTAAATTTAAATTTAAAGGTTTTTTTTAAAAGTTCTGCATAGAAAGCTTATTGTTGCAGCAAATTATCATAGGTAGCGGAAAGATGCCTTCTCTTTTATGTGAGGTAGCATATAATAGGTGACGGTGTTTCAAATACAAAATGTTTGTTTCGCCTCATGGGGAGACAAAATTGTAGTAACTCTCCCAGACTCAGAAATGATTTTGGTATCCCATTGTTTCCATGGTCTTAACCAGCTCACATCAGTATTTTCTTTCTTCTCCATGCTTGTTTTGATAGGTTTCTTTTCTCTCAAACTGCACAAAAGTAAGCCGCAAAGAGTATTTTACTGTGTAGGCATCTGCTTTATATTTTGCATTTGACAGAGTCACTTTTAAGAAGTGAGAAGACTATCTTTTGCACCTTTCTGCTTCTATATTATGCGATTAAAAGGACCTGAGTTATAACTTTTTTTCTGTTTGCTTTTTCACATTGGATAAAAAGGATCCTCTTTTTCAAAACCTTGATAAGCTCGAAAATTTAATTTAAAAAAAAGTAGGACTAGATACTGAAAAGTAAGTCTTGCACACTAGAAAATTAATTGCCCTCAATTTTAACTCCAGTAACTAAAAATTTGATTAAAATCGCATTTGAAAAGTTGGTACCTCTGGCTTTCATTTGAGATTTAGCATCCCCACCCAAAACTGAAGACAGATAAGAAATAGAACTGAGGCAATGGGTGTTTGAACAACTCAGTGTATCATAAGCTGATAAAGGATGATAAATCCTTTTCTCTACAGACGACATCTTAAATTATTTTTAAATCTTCGGCTTTAACTCTGTCTTTCCTGATGGATGTACTTGAGACTTGATCTTAACATTGCATTAATGCTGCTTATTTAGAAGTGTACCTGCAGATGCATGATTGCTTGATGTTTCTTTCCACAATTCAAATAGCAGTATTCATTTTGACAGTCTCACTGGTCTCTAAAGAAAAATCTTGAAAGCTAAGCTGGCCATCTCTGAGGGGACTCTCCCTCTTCTCGGTTTTTCTCCCTTACATAACAAATGGCATTTAAAAAAATCTATTTTAAAAGACTTTGGGGACTTTCTCAAACACACAAGGTATATTTTATACTCAACCCTTTGTATTGCAATATAGATTATAAAGACCACTTTTATAAACATTTAAATAATTTCACTATAATTTTTTTAAATGATTCAGAACTAAAATCATGGTAGTCTGAAGGAGAAGGAAGCATTAAAAACATGGATCATAAATGGAGGGCAGACATGGAGTTTTAAAGGACATCTATTTATCTTTTTTTTTTAATGACCTTACCTTCCAATGCATTAAAATCAGGTTTCTTTTCTTGGCTGTATTTGTTTCTTCTTTAAATGCATCTTAATGGTGATTTGTCCTAGTTTTCAACTTCCAGGTGGAAGCTTAGTCTTGTGTCTTAGCAACAATAATACCTAAAGGCAGGTATGTCAAACAGTACTGAAAGTTTTCAATAATATTAATTTAAAATTGTGAACTTCTGCCCAAGATAAAATTAAGATAAAAGTATTATAAATGCCTTTTTTTTTTTTTTAAAGAATGTTTTAAAAAAATGACTTCAGTACTAAAAACATGATTTCAACAACTTGCTTTTTTGAACTGCTGTTACCAATCCTTTGCTTTATGATGTGACTTGCTGATAAAGGAATTCAGGTTGGAGAGTTCTTGCTTCTGCTAACAGTAAATTACATGTTGCAGGACTATACACAGCATTTTCTAAGCTCTGTCATTTTAAGATATGGACTCTTGCACTTAAAGGGTTATAAATCCCAAGAATGAGTACTTGCAAGAGACAAGGTCTTCTGGGCTGACTGCCCATTGTGATGAATGTAAGGTATTTCTGGATTTGTATATATGGTAGGGAAAATAATAAAAAAAATAGCAAGCATCTTAAGAACCTGCGAGTGCCATTGAAAATCAATTGGACTTATATTTTTGTATCATCTGAGTACCTCTGAAAAATTGTCAGTTTCACTCAAGTTAGGTTTTGCAGTCAAACTAGGTTGGCACTGTGTGGTGATTAGGTAATGTTGAAATTTGGAGTTTGTATTGTCAGATGGTCAAAGCTTTGAGTTGACTGGAAATTCTGAAGTTCTATTTTGTTTTTGGGTTTTTTCATTTGTTTTTTAATGTTGCATTTTTAAATGTGAAATGTAATTGTTTTCATGCTCTGAACCAGTATGGATAGGAAAATCATGGAGCCATTTTCCCAGTTTTAACCTATCTAGGCACTTTTTGGGGTGAGGGTGGAGAGGGAGTACCAGCTGGCCACACAGTGTATAGCACACCCTTCCCATCCCCCCCCACTCGGCGTCCAGAAAAGATACCCACCAGAAGGAGCTCCTTTCTTTAAAAAGGTTGAAAACCCATGTCTTAAGAGTATAAGATTACATCTGTGTTAATTAGTCAAAAAGTCTGATATATACTACAACTGATCAAACTTCAGAAAAGCTCCCATTGCAGACTGCATACATTTTATGATTTTTTTCCTATGATATTTAAAAATGAGTAGAAAGTAATTTAAATGGTTATGTTTACACTGAAAATGTGTAAGTAGAACAAATTTGGAGTAAACAACATTCTAATGAGACTCCCATAATGGTAGGGGGGAAGGAGGAAGAAGGCTCTTACTGGTCAAATGTTTTAATTAGTCTCTGTGGAAAAGTCTCTTGTGACAAGAACTGTATAAGATTAAAGGGGTAGTGGCTTTCTTTGAAGCTAATGCAGGTGCGGTGTTGAAAAATAGGGCTGGAGCATTGCTAGAGCAAAGATGACCCAGGAAATGTAAGAGGCAAGAATTTTTTTTATTTTTTTTTTTTTGCAGAATTTTTGTGTGTCCAATAAGATCTCAATAAACCTTGCCTCTTGTAAAGTGAGGATGGTTAACTCTAGAGTCACAAAAGCAGATTTGTCTCAGAGTAAAATCTCATTCAGGTGCAAATTAACATCTTTTTCAGAAAAGGGGCCAGTCAGGGCTGACAACAAGAGTGCTTTGTACAGTTGCAGATACTTCTGCAAGTTCCTGTGGTAACTATCATACTCTAACTCTTGTGGATGCAGGTCATTCTCTGGAGGATTATAGTTCCATAAACAAAGGTGCTCTTTGAAGAACAGTGCCTTTATGTTTTACACCAGAGTTTCTCAACCTGTGGGTCACAACCCGAAAGTGGGTTGCAAAAATATATGAAATGGTCATGAAAAATGGATATTTTGCATACATTTTTTTTTTAAAAACAGATGCTACTTGTTTCACCATGTGTTTAATGTTTTGCCTACTAATAAACAGGGATCTGGGTTTTCCATTTGCTGTGGGGAAAACAAGGATTATCCCTTTTAAAGGAGAAAAACTTGGAAACCACAGGTTTCCCCTTGCAGGCTGGCAGAGTTCCAGAGTGGGGCTTGGGGCTGTGGGGACTGGGAGGAGGGTGATTTGGCAGGGGGTGGGTGCCATGTGTGCACACATGCACATGCATGTGGCAGCCAGGCAGGGTGGAGAGCAGCTCCCCGCAAGTAAAGCTATGGACAGGGGCCAGGCATGGATGCATATTCAGGGAGGAGTTGGGAGGGCACAAGCAATATCTCAGGAGGGCATAGGGAGACTAATTTGTGTACCCACAGCAGGCACAGGGCTGCAGCCTGGTCAGACCAGCATGGGCAGGACCCAACTCAGGCCAGTGAACAGAACCCAGCGTGGCAGGGTAGAGCTGCTTGGCAAGCCTGGTTGCTGCTACTGCCAGGACTTCCGTGCTGCCAGCAGTGCAAAGAGTAACGGACACGGGAGGTTCTCTGCCCTCACCTTCTCCTGCCTCCAGCCACTTGCTGCCCAGGCCCCAGCTCTACCTGGTGCCCATGGCCTTGAC